GAGAATACAATGTGTTTTCAGGTACATGTGGATGAAGCCAATCCTGACAATATTCTGAAAGTGTGGAAGGATTTATGACCCATATTTTGAGAGTTCTAGGTGGAGCAGATGACTACATTACTGTGTCAGCTTTTATTGGTTTTATGATTACATAAATATCCTTAAAGATCTAGTGTAATCGGCTTTTCTTAGTGTTTTCAACATGAAGTGCTTAGTGTACGTTGAAGGATAATCAGGCAGCTCACTCTAAAGGAGGAGTGATAAGGCATTTCCTATAGGAAGATGCCTAGAAAGTAAATTTTGTGTCTCTTTTGCCTGTGCATTCTTTGCATATTGTTACAATATTCTTTACTGAATGGTTTACATTTTGGGTCTTGACTCCCTGGCACTAGTCTGTAGCACACCTGAGTTGTAAGGTCAAAGTCCAAGACACGCATCTTTCTTTTTGGAATAATGTTCATTAGTGCACGTTTTCCCTATATGTAATCTGGGTAAGCAAGTGGCCAGTTACTCTGAATTGTTCAGTCTATTTATAATTTTGCATGGAATTTACATACTAAAGTGAATCCTATTGACAAAATTTGGATTGCTCACTGTTAGAATTTAGCCAGAGTTCTTAAACTTTTAACTATTGATATTAACTAATGTAAAAAAGAAAAAAAGTTACTATTACACCATAAATTATAAGACTTTTGGGTTCCTTTTTCTTCTTTTTTATTATTTTTTGGAGACACGTTGTTGCCTGAAAGGCTTCATAGAGTAAACTATGACACTAGTGAGATGGCACTTTATTCATATGTGGTATATTATACATATGTTTGGTATGATATTTGTATTTATCAGTGTGAAGATTAAGCGTTTTTATAGATTCTAAATGGTAATTTGGTGAGGAAGAAAACTTGATAGCGGTTAGGAAAGGAATGAGTATAACGGGGAAAAAAGTGAGGTGAGGAATGACAATGGAAAAAAAGTTTGTGGATGATGAGGAAAATGGTTAATAATAGAATTGCTTTTGTCTTCTACCTATGTTATGTTTCACAGAGTGGATGCTGTCAGTATGTGTAAAGCATGTTTGGTACAAGTGCTAATAATAAGCTCTGGTGTGCATGCTACGCTAATGAATTCAGGCAATGCAGGTTGCTGGTTGAAAGACCAGCAATATGAAAGTTGAAAGAGAAGGCCTGACATAGCTTGTTCCCTTAGTGTTTTTATTGGAAGCTTGTTTAGTATATAGAAATCTACTCAGTTAAGAGTAATGTCAGATACTGTAGTCTGTAAAAAAATAAAAATAAAAACATTTTGTGGCCTTTTGTGTAAGGAGTGAAGTGACCATTGTTACTGGAGATTTCATTTAGAGCTTTTAGTTACTTTGCTTCTGTGACTCACCTGTCTGTCTCTAATGACGTAGAGCTGGTGGCCAGCATTGCTTCAGAGGGTGATGTGAGAAAACACTGTAGTGTAAAAGAATACAATAACCTTATTGAAGAAGCTTGTTTCTAGAGACTTATTTCCCTTAACTGGGAGGTCTTCCAGTTTTGTAAGCCCCTACGTTTCTTAATTCAGTTCAACTGATGACCAAAGACTGCTTTTTTCTTTAAAACAGTGGTTTTTTTGTCAGTTCTAGATCTTCCTTTCCAACTTCACTGGTTTCCATTCCTGTATTAAATAATACTTTTCAGGTTATAATTCATACAGTTGTCAGCTAATTTAATTTCTTTGGGTTGTGTCTGTAGATTGTTCATTCTTGAAGTGTTTTGGTAATGTAAATATATTTAAATGTGAAACATTAAAGAGATACCATTTTATGCACTTCATCTATGTACTGTTTTTGGTGCATAGTGTCACTTCTGTGAGACCATAAGTTTAGGTCAGAAGAAATTGTGATTAGACTTCATCAAGCACTGTCTGCTCTGAGTGTAGGTTAACTGACAGCACATTTTAATATATTAACATTTTCTTGAACAGTTAATTTTATGTAAAATATAACACCCCTTCACTTCTTCTAAAATGACAGTGTGTCTAAGTGTGTAAAGCATTTAGCTTGTAATTATAGAAAGATGTTTATGTTTTTTGTAGTTCAGGCTGTGGTCTTTCTACATTCCACCAACGCTGGTTAGACAAACATAGTTATTCAGAAACTAAATCCATGTACCTGAAAATACATCCACCATCTTTTTTTCCAATGAAACATTTTAGGAACTTTAGATACTGTTAAGTAGAGAGAGTTTTCAGGTATCACAGTTCAGTAATCAAACTTTTGCATGTCAGCATTAATGTCCAAATGCAAAGGATTGGGTCAGTAGGATTTTTTTCATGTGAAACAAGAAGTATCACTATCACATGTAGTTTTTGGGGAGAATGATTCAAATTTAGCTAGGATTGTTGGTAGTAATACTTTTTTGGTATCTCCTGTAAACTACTAGAATATTAAAAATAAGAATAAATAAAAAAAGTATTTGGGGTGCTGCCACATGTCTCCAGTATATATCTGTAGGATATCTATTGCACCAAAACTTTAGTACCAAACCAGGTACTAAAGGATTAATACTGTCAGTGATCCACTTGATAGTAGAAAGGAGCAGTGGATCTATTAGACGTCTGTCTTATCAATCTTTCTTAGACCTCTGGCCAGCACAAAGTATTGTCAGTACTGCATTGATCACAGGGGTTCATGCACAGACTCTAAATTATGTAGGAAATACCAATTTTGCTTCTTTACCTCTTTGTCAAGAGTATCAGCTATGCAGCTGTGCAGGCGAATTTCTTGAACCGTGTTTTGCATTCCACAAAATGCTGTACTCTGTTCAGTAAACTGAGCATCAGTTAGTTTGATCTGTCCCTTCTTTGTCTGCATGAGGTAGTTGGGAACTGCATCTTCAGTATACTTTTTTTTTTTTTAGAAGATGCACATACAACCCTTGCTTGGTACACAGGTGTTCTCAGTACCCTGTGTGTATTTGTATGTCTGAGCTAAGGCAAAACCAAAAGCTTTTAGAACAAAGTGTTGAGGTTAAAGAGAAGGTAGATTTGTTTGCCTTTAATTTAAAAAAAAAAAAAAAAGCTGGTATTTGAACCTCACTGGAATGTAGCCTTTGTTCTGATTCTTCAGGTTTCCAAACAAAATGATAGTTTCCTGTTTTTAAGTGTTATGTTTAACCTTAATTTTCAGTGTTCTCAGTGCTTAGATCTTTCATGCTAACAATGTTGATAATCTTTTGATAAGGGGCTGGGGGGAATTGGTCAGGTAAGAGAAGTTATGTAGTACATGATTGAGTTGAGTGATCAGTCTGATACAATTACAATTACGTTGTTGAATTCCTTTTAATGTCTTTTATAAATTTGGCTTTAAGGGATGTGGCTATGTCTGAATACCTGCTTGCTATTCAGATGCCAGGCTGAATAT